ATATACATATATATATATATATTATATATATATATATATATATATATATATATATTATCATATATAATAATATATAGATATACAGATACAACACACATATATATACATATATATAGATATAATATACACACATATATATAGATATATATATATATATATATATTATATATATATTATATGTATATATATATATATATATATCTATATATATATATTATATATAATATTATATATATCTTATGTATGTATGTATGTCTGTACATCTGTGTATATATATTTATATACATATGGATATATACATATAAAACATAATGAATATATCTGAAATAAACAAAAATATATACATTAAATATATATATGTATATATATATATATATTATATATATAGATGTATATATATATATATATCTATATTAATATTATATATATATATGTCTATATATATATATATATATATATATCTATATATATATATATTATATATAGATACATATATCTATATATAATATACATATATATATATATAAGATAGATCAGATAGATATAGTAGATATAGATATATAAACACACAAACACAATTCTGTCCGAACTCTGACCAGAGATTGTCTGAGATTTGGTAAACACTTGCAAGGGCTTGTAATTATTGATTTCGCGTTTAAGCTCACATTGTTGACCACAAAATATTTGTCAACAAACTTTATTTAGATGGTACAGATCAGTGGATGAGATCGGGGTTTCCCTGGACATGCCTTGAATTTGTTTTGGTCCAGTTGATGCTGAGCGGAGTTTCTGGCCTTGCTTCAAAATATAGTAAGGGATTCCGTTGCAGAATAGGGTTTAAAGTCGCCCATAAGAAACGCAGAGGATAATTTTTTGTGCAAACCTTGTTATAAGTGGTCAGGAGGAGTTGAAAATGTCTAAGGGTCCTCAAACATCTTGCCTACAACACCTCTTTGCATGGAAACAGTCCATATACCCTCATGCGATCTCAGCATCATCAACAGTAGATGGAACGATGTGATCATATTGGAGTGGGGGTCTCAGTATTGATCTGACTACGTCAATTGCAGCCTTTCTGATAAATGAAAGGTTTTCTAAAGGATAGTTACCCCGGTCTTCAGCATCTCAGTTGTAATGCAGCAGCAGATACCGGGAGCCTTACCTTCTTTAGTTGCTAATGGCAGTTTGGACAGCTGTAAGGGTAACAGGTGTGGTATTGCAATATGGATTTGTACTATTGGCCACGGTCGTCAGGATAGATTCCTCGGGGATGGGGGAATGGTTTAGGAGCTGACTGAAATGCTCCTTCACTGAGATTGCTTCGAGAACCGAGGCCTGTGATCCCAGAAATATGCTTTTCGGCCCTGGTCCACGATGTTCACAGTGGCCTGTGATTTCTATGATTGTCACTTATCAATAAGGGCAGTGGTACATAACTTCATAGGCTATTACCAATATCATTTATTAATCTTATAATCTAGTTTTATTCTATTTGTTATACTCTATTTTCTGATGTGACATGCTGTCTCATTTTGCTTTTGCAACGAGTCGTTACAGTTAGGATCAATCCTGTTTCTCCTTCTAAGTGGTGTTGTAACAGTTTTAAATTTGCCATGCCTGGTAGGCAGCCCTGCGATGGCTAGTCAACTGATGGTCAATTGCTTGTCATCTTAATGCACATTGATTTGCTAGAACTCACATCAACATAGTGTTGACCCTAGTAATAATATTCCGAGATCTCCCTACTGTTACTGTGGGGTGATTACCATGCTCTTCATTAAAGCAGTTCCAGCCCATAAAGAAAACGGGAGCACTGCAGTGTATGTGTAAGTAATAGTTATGTACATTTTTTTCTTACGTCGGTTTCCAGTCATTCCGTTCATAAAGACTTTTTGTAAAAAAAAAAAAAAATGCTGTTCATACATGTAAATATTCTTTTCACACGAAAATCTAGAATACACATTCATGCCATGTTATCAATCTATGTAAAATCACAGAAAGGTATGTGTGAATATGAAGTCAAGAGAAATTCATCCAGATACAGTATTTGCCAAGTGAAAAGTACCAATGTAATAATTGTTTTCAGACTTACTTATTGATAAGAATTGTATAATAGTACGTGAGTTATTTTTACTTGTAAGTTATTGATAATCAAAAATATACTCCCTGATATTTTTCCGAGTTGAATATGCTCTGCACAGTCGCATGCAGACGATGGGTGGAGCCATAACAATTGACGTCACGCTTGGACTGGCAGCGAAACCTTAACATCTCGCCGAAATTTTTTATTAATGTTAATGGTTGAATCTATATTTCTGAAGAAGCCCTTGGTTACTTGGTCTGTATGTAGATATGAACCGTTAGTGATCTCATTTATGCCAGTGTTATTTCACGTTTCCTAATTTTTGACATTCCAAGAATATCCGCATCCCAAATCTTTTCTTTCTTTCATTTTTATACACTATAAATTTTGTTTCTCTTTTCAAACCTTTAAGGAACA